TGTCGGTAACCTGTGATCAGTGTCCACTTTACCTAGCATTTTCCGCGAACCTAGGCAGCAGTAGTCTGAGGAAGGACTTGTCAAAATCTTTTTGTGAGTCTGTTACACAAAAAGAAGACAAGTTTCGCAGACACAGGAGGAATATGATAGGAAACGTATTCACGCGTGTAGATATTATTCTTCTGTCTAACATCTCCACAAAGTCACACGCGTATACATGACCTACACAATATGCAGCGGCTCGCTTCCTGTTTAATTTTGAAATTCGGAAACACAACAGGGCCCGTGTAAACATAAGACATAAAAATCAGGGGACACCGGGGAGGGGAACGTCCCTTTACGGTATAAAAGGTTAAGCAGCATTTTCAATTTATCTATGTAGTGTTGTGGGTGGGTTTATTGAGGATCGGCGACTGCAATTGAGATCGGATTTCGTTTCATAGCGGCCGGAAGTCTAAGGTAAGGACTACGTTTCGCCGTAGAAAAGGTCATAGACACAGTTTTGTCCTATGTGGATAAAATGCGATTCTAGGGGCTGTGAGTGGAGCAGGATTTAATCCATGGTTACCAAGAAATATTAAAGGGACAGTCGTGCGGACCTACAGCGTAAACTGTTAAGTCATCATATTATTAACAAATCCAACGTTTATGGGCTTCTTTGAGATACCATCAAGCTCTGTGTTTTCTCAGAGGGCACTCCCGACTACTCAAAGGTTTAGAAAGTCGACAACGGCGTTCATCTGGAACCCAGTAGATGTATAAATGTATACAGATGTGAAAACAAGCTCGCAAATCATATTGTGTCATAACAAACCTGGCAGCCATCATTCGGTTGCCGTGCCAGGTTAAAGTAGGACAGGAGGTTCTCGAGTGAGCAACGAGGAGGTACGTAAATAGTACACCATATACGTTGGAACTCGTCATTGGATGACCAGATGAGTGCATTAATGAGGACGACGTCGAGGGGGAGGCTGAGTGAGGCGAAAGGGTCGAAGGCTCGGAATGTGTAGCTGCAAACAGGACAGACGATGGTCAGTCTGAGCAAGCCGTAAAATAGGTCAACAATAATGGAGTCGTTACGCTTTTTGTGCCTTTCCCAGACCTCCTCGGCAACTGCCTGAAATCATAAAAAGACCGTTGACGTAAAGCCATGGGTGATGAATAGTGTAAGTGGAAGAAGCAATTTAAAGTTGAAAAGTGGCGCGCATTTACAATACCCATATGACCTCAGTAGCAGGACAGAGGTAAAAGAAGGTGCCATCCGGGTAATATACGTGACAGTGCGCAAAATTCCAAGAAGTTAACATATCTCCCTACCTTAATCCTAATTACTGTCTCTCGTATAAAACAAAAGAAAAGTCCTTATTTTAGCCCTAACTCTATAATCAACATTAACACGAACCTTAACCCTAACGTACCATACTGTTAAACTTAACCTTAAACC